AATCCATGGTCTTGAGAATCATTACATTGACCCATGAATGCCCTGCTCTAGCTATTTAAGAACAGCTGATTCTTCAAGCAATTCACATCTTCTGAACATGGATACTCAGAAAAACAAAAAATTTGATGCCCTCAGTGTTGCAAAAAAAGTCCAAGAAATCCAAAGCTCCTGTACCTAAAAAAAATGAGCAGAATCCTTGCTAAGTATACTGAGCAGGAGCTGCGTGAACTCAAGAAAGACATCAAAGACCCGGATTTTGATAAGAATCTCAAGGATTACATCGACAACATGCCTCTAACTCATTGGTCTCCTCCTATCAGCGAAACAGAGTCTGGGGTATCCCTCAACACCTGGAAAAATGAGGTGAGAGTGTGCCTTGATGTTAGATTTGAAGACAAAGACTCTGTTGACAGCTCATGCATTAAGAAGGACAAAAAGAACTGAGTCTTTGTTCACTTCTCTTAGGACACGAATCTTAGTATGTTGTTTGTCATGTAATAAGTGTCCGTGGTTGCTCTTTAATGAATTATCTTGAAGATTTTCTTTTAATTGTTGCAAAACTTTATTTGATTCGTAGCAATTCTCCTACCATGAGTATTAACAAATGAATTATACGGGACCAACAAATAACTGATTGTCACATATCCAATCAGTCTTTATTGGCTTTTGTGTTATTAGTTAAAGATGAAATAAATGCTTGGCTGACTAACGTAAAAAGAATTGAATGGTCATTCAATTTCACTATCATTCAGTTTCAGCTATAAAAGGATGTGAGATGTGAATATGGAATTCACTCATCTATCTCTTCCCGTTCTTCGCACAAAGAAATCTTGATCATAGCTCTTCGTAAACCAGTTATGCGAGCTCAAAGCAAAAAGAGATTGCCCAAAAGATTCGACAAGAGCAAGTGGATCTTTATCCCGGAAATAGCTTGAAAGCTCTTCCGGAGGTGTCGTCGGACAGTGAACAGCAAAACCAAGATGATGGATTCCTGGTCTATGAATCCGAAGAAAATCCCATTGCAGATCAACAAGAAGCTCCACCCCAGTGAAAGGAGGAAGCAACTTTCCGTCTGCTAAGGATTGGAAAAATCCTTATGCTGATCGAGACTATCTAGTGTATTTGAGTACCAACACAAATGAATCTGACAAGAGCAGTGATACAAATGTGGAACCAGATTCTCTACCTGGCTCAAAATCACTCAAGACTGCTAGATGGTTCTGTCAGAAGTTGGAAAAAATGATGATGGCTAGAGGAGAGGCGAGCAAGAACACGAAAGGATAAGAGAAGAAATAGCTCTTCTTTCATTTGAAATCTTTTAAATGTAACCTCATCCTATGCTGCACTATGTCTATCCTTAATAAAATCGTCTCGTTGCGTGTTTATCCTATATGGACGAAAATTTATTTGTTTCTTATTTTACACACACGAATCAACGAATATCTCGCGTCAGGAATATATCAGAAAGTCACTTTATCAGTCTTGAAGCTTTCTCGATAAACTAAGGCACTCTGAAAGTTTTGGAACTCGAAACTTCAGGGTGTTGTCATCCTGATCAATCTTATCATACAAGCATCAAGCCTGTGACCTCTTCACCACTATATAAACAAGCTATTCAATTCGAGGCCATCACTCAATCAATATCTCAAATGGACAAAGGTAAGGAGATTGCATACTCAATGGAAGCTGCAGACCATGGGAAGGTTGATCGAAAGAAGAAAGGCAACACACACTACGCCAGTGGAGAAAGCTTGGAGAAGCTTTCAACTCTCGTTGCAACAAGTGAGATTTCACCACCACCAAATCAGAACGAAACACCTCCTTCACAAAATGGGACCAAAACTAATCCCTTTAAGAAATTCCTCAACAATCCTCTTCACACCAGAGAATATGTGTTATGGCTTCGCGATCTTTCGGGTACTGATGAGGAAGTCAACGAGAATGAAACTTCTGACACAGAATATGACTCTGTGCTGACTGATCTTCTCGCCTTCGAGCTCTTCCGAAAGGATTACCTCAAGGAAAAAACTCTTGCGCTTCAGAAGGCTAAAGCTAAGAAGTGAAGAAAATGGAATATCTCGCTGTGTTCTGCTATGTACTAGATGATTGAGTCTGTCTGTTCTTATCTATATTTCGTGTACTCAATAATCAATCATCTTTATGTTTTGTGTTTCAAAATAACGATCTCTTTTGGACCTTGATCACACGAAAGAACACCATTCATCTTCACAAAACTTTATTTGTTTTGTGGAGACATGAAAAGCCAAGACTTCTTCATGAAGCAACTCATGGAAGAAGGTGAAACGACTAGAAAAAGGATAGATTTATCTTAACCATCCGATGAAAGTTATGAAATACATCATGTGGCCAAAAAATTCGGTCCACTAACTCATAATCGTGACTGATCGTGTCAGCGGAAAGGACGGGCATTAATTGCCCTTGTCCCATACTCAAGTGCATTTCTCTCTCCTCATTAAATGAGGAATGACAATTTTTTATCTGATATCTTCCCTATCAGAAAATTTCCACAGATAAATTGCCTTATATACGCAAGTTGTCAAATGTGACCCAAACCCTTTGCACTTACCCATACCCTTTCAAATTCAAACTCCGGGTCATTCATCAACCCGACCCAAACAAATTCGGTTATACCCACTTATTAACCCTACAAACACTTCTCATAACTTTTCATCTCCATCGTGATTAGCCTAAAACCTCTCAAAAAATCCAAAACACTTTCAAAAACCTCTCAATATTTCACAAACCCTCTCAAGAAACCTTCAACCCAACAATGGCGAAGAAATCCAAATCCAATGCCCCCAAAGAAGTTCAAACCTCCTCTGCCGAGAAGCTTCTAACGTTTCCAACATCAGATGAATCCTTCATCAAGTCTAGGGAGCACTTCATCGCATGTGGTTATGTGTGGGATGCTCATGGTTTCCTACAATATGCCATTGACAAGAAGTTCGGAGAATCGATCATCCATCTTTTACAGGAAAGTGGTTTATACAGTTTTGTAACTCATGTTTATACATTCTTTTATCCTTTTGATGTCACTCAATTCTATTTGAATGCATCTGTATCTGCGGATAACTCTACAATCACGTCTGAAGTTAATGGAACACCCATCTCCCTGACATCGGAGGATATTCAAAAAGCATTTGGTTTTCCAGAACGGGACGATACATATCATTCAAACTTCCTGCTATATGGATATGATCCGATTGCGTTCTATGCCCAAATCAAGAATGCTCAAAGTCGGATTGATGTGAAGTGGCCGTTGAAGAAGAAGTGGTTCCGTCTTGACTATGAGTTTGTGGCAGACATCTTCAACAAGATTGTTGATCACAAGACATCTGGCACAGATGATGTTACCCAAGACAAACTGAAGATGATTCATGCATTCTTACATCGCTACAAAGTTGATTGGTCGAAAATCATCTTTGATCAACTTTTGGTCCATGTCACTGCTGGCAAGACTGAAGACGGAAACATATGGCGAAAAGTTGGCTTCGGATTGATGATAGGCTACCTGCTTCGTTTCAAGAATGTCCCTTTACGAGAAAGTGTTTCACTGAGTTCAAAAATCTGCCACATGAAGTCCAAACCCTCGGGTTATGATAAACAAAAGGCCATTGAATTGGACTTGCTCATCTCGGAGTCAAAGTCCAAATCCAAACGAAAGATAACATCTGAAAGTGATCAGCCTACGCCAAAGCATCGAAGAAAATCACGAAAGGTTAAGCATTCTTTAGAAGAAGGTTCATCTCGTTCTCTTTCTATTGTGCCGGAGAACGAAAGTGAACACATGACTCCGAAAGATCCAGCTCCTCTCTTGACCTCACCACAGCCTGCGATTGATACAAACATGGCAATTGATTCACTTCCTCAACACAAATAACTTCATACACCGGCTCCAGCTCGAGATCAAGTCATGCCCCCTACCACACAAGTTCATCACATCAACAGTTCAGAAAACACCCAAGCAGATAATTCGTCCGATGACGAGTGTTCAAACAAACGGCAAGCTGGTTCGGTGAAAATAAACTTTCGACATCTTCATGACAAAGCTAATACAATCATGACTCGATTAGCCCCACCTCCTGCTTCTACTCTCTCAAAATTCCGAAGGACAGCGATTACATCCTCGCCTGCTGCTCAGGGGGGCAAGAAAAGACCACGAATGCACCTGCTGTGAAAAAGTTGACCAAAGCCCTTGCCATTGTGCGGGACATGAAGAAGCAACAATCCACGCCCGAAAGTTCCTTGCCACAAGAACCTATTGTTGCAGAACAGGTCTTACCAACTCTGACACAAGAACCTGCAATAGTAGAAAAGGACTGGTTTGTGCCTTCTACGTCTGACCTCTTAAATCTCCCACAAGAACTTGGTTTACCAGAAGAGACGAGAGAAGAGGTCAATGACACGAGTTCAGTTCCACCACCAACGAGAGATCAATTGCTTCGTCAGTCCATCTTCGAAGAATATCAACGAGTACTACGATGGCAGAAATGGCGCACATATTCTCTCGATGTCTTCTTAGCACGAGTCGATGAAATGAAAACAGAAGAAATTTTTGCCTTAGACTGGCTGGACACGAAAGATGTCTATGAGGCGGTTCTTCTTCCAAAGATCTCACGAACGTACTCTTACAAATTCACACATCGGAGTCTTGGAAAAGATAAAGCCCCAGTCTGCATTGAAATCGTGAAACCATCTTTCGATGATCCAGCTTTCGAGGTTGAAATGAAGAATCTCAGAGATGCCATGCGGCTATCCAAAATCACGACCGAACTTGAAAAGCTCTACAAGAATGACCCTCATTGCAATACCAGTGGCACGAAATCTGTTGTTGAATACATTTATCTGCCTGATGACACACGAGAAGAACAAGTCTCTAAAGGGAGTGATTATGAAAGAAGAATGTTGAAGATACTGTGAATGGGCAACCTCATGAAGATAATGTCCCTAAGGGAAACAATGAAGACGAGAAGAGTGATATGGAAAAGGAGAAAGATGTTGGACTCGAAGGGCACATTGATGATAAAATAGATGATGATAGTGAGAACGGACAGGATGAAGATGAGGAGAACAAAGATGATGATGAAGAAGATCATACTGATGATAAGGGTGACGATCTGGGTGATGACACCGATGATGAACCGAAAGATGGTTCTGGTGGAAGTTCTTATGACAGTAATGATGATGGTGATGATGATGCATCTCCAGTCATTGGACGAACTGTGATGATACCACCCACGGATCTTTACTGTCGTTCGAAAGATGCCAAAACGTGGGTACCTAGAGCATCTGATGATGATAAAAGGGAAGCATCGTTGGATGTGGCACCTGTCGTCCCAAGTCGAACTGAGCATGGCACTCAGACTGAAGCTGAAACCCTTGACATAGATAAATTCTTAAGACTTCTGACACGAACAGTCGAAGCGCTTCAAAAGCAACATCAACACTACAATGAACAACGCATCGAGGATGCTGAAATCATGACACGCTTGTCTGGTCAAATGTCTTTCATCAACAAGAAGCTCACTTTCTTGGTCAAAGATTCACAAAAGGAAAGGCCATCTACTTCTCATGCCCCGCAGCCTGTTGACCTTGGCCGACAGATAGAACTACTTGAGAAAGTTGCAAAGGAGCAACACGCTCAAACTGTCTCAATTTGGTCTTAAAGAACGGGTTGATCTATCGTGTCTGAAGGTTGATACAGCCAGTGATAACATCTCTGCCATGGCCAACTATCAGTTACAAATTTTAAAATATGTCATGGACCTCACTGTCAAAGTTAACTCACTGTTGAAACCCTCTGATCCTCCCACTGATGCCAAAAAGGGGGGAAAGAGACATAGAAAAGATGATGATGATGAAGTAGATCATCAAGGAAGAAGCAAGGAACCCTAAAGAAGGAATGAAGGAACTCTCGTCCATACAAGCGATGCACCTTCTATCGAGCATCAAAAGCAAACACCATCCGAATCAAGACAGCAAGCACCTTCTAAGTCTCGACGACAGTCAATCAGACCGAGACCTTCCTATGGTTCATATTCTAAGTATTCTTTTACAGGACTATCTCATCGAGAGAAGACAAATCACAACGAAAGTTGATGACAGATGACAAAGTAACAATGGATAGAGCTGGAACATTCATTGACTATGAAGAATACAAAGAAGGAAGTGGATTAAGGTTTGAAGGATACAATCTCCCTGTCTAGTTGAAGAAAAGGGATGCTTACACTCGTTAAGATTATCAATGGAAGGAGAACCAGAGAATAAGAGAAGAAAATGAAGCTAAAAGGCTTATGCAAGAAGAAGCATGAAATCAAAGGAAACAAGAGCTTACCAGATATCAAAAAACACAAGAGAAAATCAAAGATGTCTCAAAGATAGGAAGAGATGCTGACTTTGATGTCAAATATGATGCCGTAGCAAAAGTTCACCGAGAATCCGAGAAAAGTTATGTTGATGGAATGAACTCCATAGAACTTATAACATGGTGGAATCATGGCATCATCTCAGGACGAAACATTCTAGAGGCTTACAACAATTACACGAGCTATAACTTTGGAGAAAAATATGAGGCTCGAGTTCGTGAAAGACCACTCAGAGAAGTCAGAATTAATGTCAACAATGACATAGACTTTAATAATATGCTGAAGGAGCAAAGGGAGCGAGACGACAGAAAAAAGATGGAAGCTCAACAAACAAAACAAAGTCTCTTGGCCATGTAATGTGTTTACTTTACGAGTACTTTTTATTTTGTAATAAATATCTTGCTTAATGAATATCTTTTACGTGTTCCTTTTGAAGTACCTTCGGTCTTTAACTAATGTTTTTTCTTTATAATTGTTTATAGATCCTTTTGTACACTCTTAAGTAGGGTTGTTTTATAATAGAATTTTCCTTTAAAGGACATCCTTCAGCCTTATGAATAAGAGTATAGATTTTGGCATCATTAAAAAGGGGGAAATTGTTAGGAACCAATGTATTTAGATTTTGATGATACCAAATTGTCTTAGGTTGTAGACCCCTATTTTTCATGTGTTAGAAAGTTTCGTATGACATAGGCATGGAATGTCAAACCATGCACGAGACTAGTAGAATAGGTCTACATGAAGACTCGAAGACAATCGAAAGATGCTTACAAATGAAGGAAGGACTAAAGTAAGTCTTGGATAGACTGCTTCAACAAAAGGAACTTTCGGTTAAGAAGAAAGGACGAAAGATGAGGACAATCTTGCGTTCCTAAATAAACAAGTTGAGGATAAACTTGTTGAAAAACAACTCTCATTTAAAGGAAACAATGAGAATATTGTCTATCACTCAAATGGACAAATCATTCCGACAAAGAAAAATGTCCTTGGAATGTCTTTCACTAAAAGACAAGGAGAATTTAAGGAATTGTACTATCTTGTCAGAGTGCAAGGACAAAAGTCATAATGCTCTTGGCTCCAACGGCAACTCAGTATAAATGCACTTAATGCCTTCTGACCACTGAGTATTACACACTGGTTATTAGGTTTGAAATTTTCATCTCCCTCCAACGGATGGATTTTTCCACCTATAAATACCTCTCTTCTCCATTGAAAAAGGCGCTGGTTAACTCTCTCTCTCTCTCTCTCTCTCTCTCAATCTAAAGAAAAGCTCCTTAAGGCAGTTCCATTCTCTCAGCTTTTCATAACCAGTGTTTGTTGTGAAGTTTTTCAAAGGCATACTATTCTCATTCTTCACAACTTGAAGCAATCTTGTACTTTCATCAAGCGAAGATCCATCAAGACGTCAAGACAAGCTTCACCCTGTTGGAGACTCATCAGATTTCTTTTCCAACAACTCAACTTAGGAAGAAGTTGATAGAGGCAGAGTAAACTTCAAGAGTTGAAAAACCTTTCAAGTGGTTGTCCAACTTAGTGATCAAGGAAGCCATCTTTAAGTAGTTTGTATTAGGAGTGATAGTGCAAACCCTTTCACAAGTTGTGAAAGAAGAGTGGAGTAGGCACAGTTGGCTGAACCACTATAAAAATCTCTCTGTCCATCTCTCTCTTTTCTTATCACTTTTAGTTTCATGCATTGCATATCACACAACATCGACCAAACGTTAAGTTTATTTTTACACGAAACTGTGCAAAGAAAACCTAAAAGTTGACTTAACTTCCACTGCGTATAACCCCGAAAGGTGGTTACTCGTGAAAATCGAAAAGAGCCTATTCACCCCCCCCCCCCCCCCCCTCCTCTAGACTCATTCAAACTCTACCGGGACCAACATTAACAATAATATATATAATTAAATTAACCAGTTTGGTAGGCATTAGTGGCTGTGCACTCTTGTCCTTAAGAGAGATTGAGAATTCGAACCCCTCTCCTATGGAATATATATATATATATATATATATATATATATATATATATATATATATATATATATATATATATATATATATATATACTAGTATGATACCCGTGCGATGCACGGTCTATAAATTTGTAGTAGTTAATGTTAATATATTTTTTTGCATTGTTAAAGTATATTATGTATATTGTAAATAATTGACCAGGGATCGAGTCTCACCAGCGGCACTGTGGGAGCTACCTCTCAAAGTGAGGGGGGTTTCTTGTGCACAGTGAGCAAAGGTCTAGCCTTTATGGTTCATGTTCAGTTGAGTTACCATGATTTACATCCCCCAAATGCTCTGTCGGGTCGGGGTGTGGGGGCCCTTAGGATTGGAGTTCAACCTTTTAAAAGAATGTATATTGTAAATAATGAAATTGACGGTTACATATGTACATATGGAAATAGTTATTATATAAAAATTCTTAATTGTCATATTGTATGTTGCAATTACCTTTTGGTGATAAATTTTTAATTATTAATTTTTTCTCCATGAAATCAATCATTCATTTTTGTTTATAGTGTAAACATTATATATTCATAGTGGTAAAAGACTGACATTGACTTATATATGGTCTTGTTTGGTAAATGACTGTTAGCTGATAGCTATTACCTGATTGGGTTAATTAAAAGGTATAACTAGTTGATAACATTAGCTAATTGTACAAAAGTGTTTGGTAAATTAGCTGTAAGTTATAGTTGTTTGGTATAATTTCTTTTCTAAAAAAGCTAATTGAAAAAGTTATTTGGAGTAGCTTTTTGAATTTTAACATTTTGGAAGTACAAAAAGCTAATTAACAAAACACTTATATTGCTTTTTTAACCAAATCAAACAATAAATAGTGAACAAATAAGTCAAAATTGACTGATAGGCTAACTAGTGAAGAAAAATGACATATAATAAATTTTTATCTCTAACTTTCTACATCTATAATATGACATACAAGTATTAATTAATTCTCCAAAAAAAAGTCTTAATTAATAGTAGGAAAAAGGTTGAGAGAGGGGAGAGGTAGCACAAAGAGTCAACACCACCTCCATTGAACATTGATCTCATGACCTTCTATACGTGATAGGCACTACATGCCATCTAAGCACAAAGTGTGTATAGCTTTATAGATGTGCCCATAATTTACTGTTCACCATTGAAAAGCATTAATGATCTAATAAATGAAGCTACATACTCCTTACCTCACTTTGATCTCCATCCAATATTAGTTTTGCATTACGTCATCTTTCTCCCTTTTATCCCAACATGACAGTTTTGGTCCACGTGTTTAATTCATACCAATTTTCATCCACAAGTATTGTTTTAGTACTAGTTTTCGTCCACAATTATTGTTTGTGTTAAAATTCATCACACCGGTCTGTCATTTGTTTAAGACATGCTGAAATATGAAATTATTAAGGGTATTTTCGTCATTTTTAAATTAAAATCCCAATTTGATCATAAATAAAGTGATTTAAGCCCTAATATCGATCACAATTCGCAGTTCTCCTCCTCAAATTAAGGTAGGATAAGGAATAAAATTGTGATTTGAGATCGATCTTAGAGCTTAAATCTTTTTATTCATGATCAAATTGAAATTTTAAGTTGAAAAAAACGAAAATATCCTTAATAATTTTAGATTTCGGCATGTCTTAAAACAATAGTTGTGGATGAAATTAGTACTAAAATAATAGTCGTGGATGAAAATAGGTAAAAATTAAACATGTGGATCTAAACTGTCATTTTGCTAATATTATTGTGACTAAATTTGATATTTGCTCTGAAATAATCTTACGACCAACTATTAAAAAAATTACATAGGTCATGTTTGGTAAAATAACTTAACAGCCAATTTTAACTTACTTTTGTTTTAAAAGGAAATTTTAACTTACTTGATCACTATTAATTGTTTGATTTGGTCAAACAAGTAATATGAGTGTTTGGTTAATCTATGTTTTATAATACCTTATTGCTTCAAAACGCTAAAATTCAAATAGTTGCTCAAAGAAATTTTTTTAATAAATTTTTTGAGAAAATAAATTATTTTCTCCAAAACATCCAAAAAAAAATTAAAGAAAAAAAAAACAACTTGACGGTGTAGGCATGTTTAACAAGAAAATAAAATCATGTTATACGCTATTGCAATATATATACACACAAATCTTAATTTAATTCACTAACTACATTGTACGTAAAATATATAAACTTAATTTATATCTTAATAATTATTATAACGGTGAAATTAAAGTTTGATTTCACAAGTTATTATTAATATCTTTTCAATTCATCTTATTCGCTTCCTCTAACAAATAAAAAAAAATTAAAAAAAATTAAAAAAACATCTTACACACTATTGCAATATATATACACACATCTTAGATTCACAAGTTCAATCAATTACTGGACGTTATTTTCAACTTTGATCAAAACTCAAAATTACAATATAGTATCTGCAAACTCACAACCTCCCATATAAGAGTCCAACCCGGGTGCCATCTAATCACAAGTCGTTTGGCATATATTTCACTA